GCATGGTATCCAGGGTGATCCGGAGAGAGAGAGAGATGGAGAGAGATGTGCGATACAAGATTGGGTGCATCGAGACACACGAAGTGAAAGTGAAAGAGAGAGAGAGAGGGAGAGAGAGAGAGAGAGAGAGAGAGAGAGAGAGAGAGAGAGAGTGATAGGCTAGTTAGCTGTTAGTGGCCATGCGCCATAGCCATAGACAGTTAATGAGTGTGTATGTGTGTGTGCAGTGGTTGGCGTGCATGGTATCCAGGGTGATCCGGAGTCGAGTTGCGTGTGAACTCTGAGTCGAACGTGTAAGTGTGGGCGCCCAGCGCCATAGTCAACTGAAGTAAACTTGGATTTGAGTTGAGTTGCAAGCTACCATATCTCCGAGTTTGAGTTGGGTGCACAGCGCCAAGTTATTCTCATCTGTTGCATGCATGTTTGAGTGTGAATTTGCAAGACTGATTTCATTATTAAGGAAATTTCGGAAAAGGGGGCCTAGGAAGTGCCAACTCGCCAGCCAGAACTTTGGATAATCTGTCTCTTCCTGGTGTTTTATTGGGCTTCATGTCTTTGAGGGCTTTGTGTAACTCTTCTAGAGTGATGGGTTCCACCAATAGGGTAGCTGTCTACTTTGACAGGGTGCGGTCCAGATGCATCAAAAATGTATTTTTCGCTCTTGTGACTTCGTGGTCTTCCTTCAGGGGTTTTACTGGTGTATACATCTTTCATGATCTTTGTAGAAGTTGGCTGCCATATTGATTACCTTCTTCCCCTGAACATAACACATACGAGTCGTATTCGAGTTTTCAAAAAAATCAAAAAATTCAGAAATTTCAAAAATTTCAAAAAGAACGCAAAGATGTTGTATTCAAAAGTTAGGGTTATTCGAATAGAACGCATATGTGTTGTATTCAAATAGAACGCACCCTATGCGCTGTATTTGTTTACAACGCATATGCGTTATGTCCGGAGGAAGAAGGTAGTTGGGTGGTTTCTAAGGTGGGGCTGCCATCTGCGTCTAAGAGGCTTTCTATCTTGGAGTTCGTAGAGTTGGATTTGATTCTTTGGAAGAAGTATCTGGTCATTTTTGTGTTCAGTTCCCAATCTCTTACTCTAGCCTTTAGTTGGAGGCTTCTGAGTTTCAATTTGTCCACTGTTAATTCTTCTTTTGACTTGGAACTATATTCCAAGTTGGAATATAGTTCTCCGAAGAAAGCCGAACTGGTATTATGCTGAAGGTTGATCTCTGCCATCTCTATTGCATTTTTCAGCATCTTTCCCCTTTCCTTCCTTTGCCAGGCCAGTATCCTTGACACTTGTGCAACTTTTACACTGATGTCTTTAAGGATCTTTGGGAAAATGGTGAATATGTCCTCCCCTTCCGACATTTGAAGGGCTTGGGATAGTATACTAGTTAATTCCGATTGGAAGGCTTGGCTGCTTAGGAGGGTGTTGTTGAACCGGTAAAAGCTCTTTCCCAAGTATCCTGTTTTTGTGAAGAGACAGTGTGATGGGCTCGTGGTCAAGACCGCTGTGGTAGGTTGATCTATCTAGTCCACAGTCTTGTATGGTACCTATCAGGGATTATGAGATGAGGAAGAAGTCTATTCTAGAAAATGAGGTTCTGTTATGGGTGGTTTTCCTAGCGCAGGAGAACTGCTTCTTATCAGGATATAATCATATCAGAGTTGGAATGGGTCTGATAGATTCTTTCTAGTGATGGAATCTGTTAGTTCTACGCTGTTTGATTGTTCGGATGGACCTGCAAAATTAGAGCTTTTTTCCAAAGAAAGGTCTGCAGTATCCCATAAGGACAACGTCGTCTTCCCCCGAACACAACGCACCCTCATTTTGAATGTATCCGGCCGGAAACACACCTTGTATACGTTCATTTTCAGGGTGCGTTATGTTCGGGGGAAGACGGTAGCCTTGGGTAAGTTAGGGGAAGGACGGTAGGATGTGTTCGTGGGCGCCAGCTTGCCTTGCCTAGGAACTCCTGCTGGGTAGACTCTCTGATATTGGGCCTGTAGAAAAAGATTGCATGAGCCTGGCGTCCGAAGTTCCCGTACGGCAAGGATCGTCCACTTCCGCTTCCACTAGGGCTGGGGGGCAGCTGTCTGGTCCAAGCTGCACTCGATATTGGTAGGGTGATGGTCCTGGGCACTCCTTGCAACTCATTTTAGGCATCTTTGATGTTGTTATATTCATGGACCTGCGGTTTTTCGATGCCAGAACGAAGCTGGCCAGTGCTGGTGGGTTGCCCTGGTAACCTGTTGATAGCAGGAGCGTGAGGACTGGTAGAGAGATCTGGGGATGCCTTGGGCCAGGCATTCCAAGGAAAAACCAAGGGTTGCTGTCGGGACGACGCTGGCCGGAGCTGGGGTGAGTCGTGTTGCCCTGTAACCTAGCAGGGTGGGGGCATGGGGCCTGGGAGAGCTCGGCAGGGAATTTGACAGTGTTAGAGAATTTTAGAGTGTTTTGTCGGGGAGTCCAGGGGTTCTGAGCATTCGAAGGACTGTTGTGGTCATTGCTGCTTGAGTAGCCTAGCAATAGGTTAATAGTTATCCACGTTTTTCCTAAATCTTCCTGAACGTTTTTCATAGTTTTCGGATTGTTCTTAGCCGAAGCCAGGTAATGGCCCGGGTACTTCAAATCATTTGTATATTCTTCATGGGACGCTGGGCCCGGTTCCCAGCACGTGTTGCTCCCCACGAATAGATTGGAGCATTTGTCCCAAAAAAAAAAAAGAAAAAAAAAAAAAAGAGTGCTAGCCACACTGAGGTAAGATAGTAGGGATAGGGGGTGTGCTGGGAGAATGAACCTGGGGAAGGGTAGGGAAGGTGGCCTATCCTGTCAGGACAACCATCGGCTGCTGCTGCCAGCGATCACCCTGGGTCTGGTCCTTGGCCTCTACAACACCCTGGGCTTAAAAAAAAACACAAAAAGAAAAAAAGAAAAAGAAAAGAAACTGCAAGGAATATGAGTGTGAGCGATAAACATAAAACCAAGTCGCAAAATCACACAGCTGACCAAGTAGTCGTGTCCCAAGCAGAGAGTACAAATGCACCGAGAAAACCATCCATATAGAGCAATACAATGAAGTCATGAGCCAATGTTCAAGCCCGTAGGCCACACCAACACACTATCCAAAGTCGCTCTGCTCTGTCTGGCGTTCAGCGCCCAGCCTACTATACCAGACTATCCTACCTACAGCTGGTTCACGCAACAGGATCACTTCGACTCACGAAGACCAATGTACATGACTGCCAACACCATCGCCAACCTCAGTTCATGTACCAGGTACGTATCTGTCACCCTCAATCAGACCTTGATTACCCCACACAGCGCCTCCTTCACTGAAGACCACCTGATCATATGCTGTATACCCCCCTGGAGCCCAGCAGCCCGGCTATGGCTGCCTGCGCCCTGCTGCCCTGCAGCGCCCCACTTCACCTCTCGCGCCCTGTCAGCGCCTTTGGCAGCAGCGCAGCATCAAGCGAGAGCGCAGCAGCACTTCCGCATTGCCAGCACTGGGCAGAATGCCTGGCCTGGGCTGCGTCTTTCCTTTTGTGGAAGTGGCAGCCTCCTGGATGCTGCGTGTGGCCTGGCTGGAAGCTTCCAGTAGCTTCCGGTTGGGTCCCAGACCCTGCGCCCAGGCCCGAGACTACAGTTGAGGAGGGCCTGGGCCCTTTGCAGCTAGGCACGACCTGAGTCTCCAGACTTAAGCTGCTTGCTGCATCTGTGCAGGGCTCCCAGGCAGGTGCGTTGGCACTACTGCTTTTGCCAAGGCCGAAGGCCTGCTTCCCAATGTATCGGCCCTGCTTTGTGTATGTGTGCCCAGGCGCAACTGTCAAGGCCTGGGCCAACTGTATGACCCGGCAATGTGAGGCTCACTCGTCTTCCCAACCAACTGGCATGCTGCGAGAGCCTGAATACCCACATATGGAAATGTAGAATTTTGCCTTTGACGAATATTCAGGCCCGCCTTCACTTAGGGCGGGCACTTGGCTTGCTGGGGGCCTTAGCCCAGAACAATGTGATGTCTGATAGGGCCCCTTGAGGGCTTGTTCCTCACATTCCATCCCCCTTAGCTTCGAAAGTCCGCTGAGATGCTTCATGCTGGTGCCTTCCCCTTCAGTTTCTTCTCATAATCTGCCATGATCTGAGGAACTGTCTTGACAAGTTCCTCCCTTGAAATCCATCGATCTTCCTTCGCATCTGTATGATGCCTGAAATGTACTATGTATTCCCTCGCAGGTTTGGGAGGTCTTCCCCTGCCAGGTGCCTTGGGAACAGGCGTGTCTCTGTGATCCAGGATATCGTCGACGTCCACGTGGCCATCCATGGTTGGGGGCAGCATAGATCTCCGTGATGGGAACTGTGCTGTCTCAATGAAAGGTGCAAGCTTGGAGGCGTGAAAAACAGGGTAAGTGCGTAAGTGACCAGGGATACGAATGACGTACGAGGGACCATCCAAATCATTCCCCACAATGTCCAGGACTTCCCAGGGACAGAAATACTGAGGCATTAGTTTCCTAGAGATGCCAAACTCCTGTCCCAACTCACTAGCCTTGACCCAGACGCATTCCCCTACCTGAAATGTGGACTGTCGGCGACGCTTGTTCTCAAAAGCAATCATGACTTCCTGAGATTTCTTGACGCGTTCGACAGTCTGCTGCAACAGTTTCCCATACTGGACACCAAATTCAATGGTTCCAGGAGTTGCAGCAGTTCGGTTTTCAGGCAGGAGGAAGTCTAGAGCAGATCTAGGCCTCCACCCCAGATGCAGTTGATTAGGACTGACGCCAGTGGTGTTGTGTACAGCGTTATTGTACAGGCTGGCGATGAGAGGTAATTTCTCATCCCAATCATCCTGGCTGTGCTTGATGTAATGCCTCACCAGATGCTGCACCACTCGGCTCATCTGTTCAGCCTGCCCATTTGCTTCGGGATGATTCCCAGAAGTCATCTGAAGTTGGCTGCCCATCTGTTCAGCGGCCTTCTTCCACATCTCGCTTGTGAAACTTACATCTCTGTCACTGACATTCGTTTTTGGAAGTCCAAAGTCACGTACCCAGTTGCCCATGAACAACTTGATGACGTGTTCAGTCCTGGCAGTTTCTGGCATTGCGATTAGTCTAGCGTACTTAGTGAACCTATCCACTATGATGAAGATGTGCCTCTTGCCATTCTTGCTGGTCACGAGAGTATCCATGAACTCCATGGAGATACTCTGCCCTGGGCCAGCAGGAATGGGTAGAGGCTCGAGTAACCCAAGTGGAGCTTGAGTCCGCGGCTTGTCCCGCTGACAGACCTGACAGGTCTGTATGTACTTCTTTGCATCGTCCAACATGCTAGGCCACCAAAATCGTTGTACTAAGTTAGCAATAGTCTTCTTATAGCCGAAATGTCCCGTTGCGTCGTGGCATTCTCCTAAAAACAAACTACGCTAGATGGAACAACTGATCTCTTAAACCCTGCCTTCTCAAGGAAGAGCAACCCATCCACCATCACAAACTCATCAGTGGTGGCCTTGTCTTTAGCCTGATGTCCATCGTGATGGGATCTTCCTTGTAGGCTTCCTCCATAGATCGAGTCACGTCCTCAGATAGGTCAAACTCAGAAATCAGCGCACCCAGGTAATCTTCCCTTCTAGACAACGCATTTGGAACCTTGTTGTACTCTCCCTTCACATAGTCTAGTTTGAAGTCATACTGATCTATGACTTCAATCCAACGTTTGAGTACATCGGAGAGAACCGGTTGTGTCTTGATCCACTTGAGGGTCTGGTGGTCAGTTCTCAAATAGAAGAACCTTCCTAACAGATAGTGCCTCCAGTGGACAAGTGCCTTGTAGAGAGCGTAGAGTTCCCTCTCGTAGGTGGACTTTGCCAACTTCTTTGATGACATCTTTTTGCTTATGTACTCGACCGGTTTCAACTTTTTCCCGTCCTGCTGAGTCAGCACTACGCCAATGTCGTATTGGCTTGCATCAGTGGTTACAACAAATGGTCTTTGCAGGTCGGGTACCATGAGAACCTCATGGTGTGCGAGAGCATGCTTCAAACGTTTGAAAGTTGCCTCACACTCGTCGGTCCAGTCCCATGGTGTGTCAAGTCGAGTTAGATCAGTCAAGGGAGATTGGATCGTGCTATAGTTCTTCACGAAGTTGCGATAATAACCACACATTCCCAAGAATGATCTAACCTCAGTCACAGACAGGGTTCGTGGCGAGTCCCCAATGCTAGCCACCTTCGCATCTTCGGGCCTAATCCCGTCCGCGGATACTTCATGACCCAAGTACAAGATTCGAGCGCGACCGAACTCGCATTTCTCTGCGTTTATCTTATACTTATGTTGCCGAAGGAGTGAAAGTACTTTGTATACATGCTGAGCATGCTCCTCGAAAGTTCTACTAAAGATAAGTATATCGTCGAGGTACACGACAACGAACTTATCTAAGTATTCATGGAAGATCCTATTCATGACGTGCTGGAATGTACCTAGCGCATTGCAAAGGCCAAAAGGCATCACCACAAACTCATACAGACCGTACCTGGTCTGAAATGCGGTTTTGTGTTGGTCCTCTGGTCTTATGGCAATCTGCTAATAGCCGGATTTTAAGTCTATCTTTGTATCGTACTTACATCCCTGCACCCTATCCAATAGGTCGTCGATGTGTGGTAGAGGCTTTGCGTTCTTAACAGTGATAGCATTGAGGCCTCTATAATCAATGCATATCCTTAGTGTTCCTCCTTTCTTTGGAACAAAAAGAACTGATGAGCCAAAGGGGGAAGTGCTAGGCCGTATCCAACCCTTTTCTGTGAGCTCTTTCAGTTGCCGACGAAGCTCGTCCAACTCGGCTGGAGCCATCCTATAGATTCTCCCTTTAGGTGTCTTGCTACCTGGGATGATCTCTATGGCATGGACAACCTCCCTATCTACGACTCCTGACGGCTCCTCAAACAGATCAAGGTACTTAGCGACGACGATGGTCTCTATCTCTCGGGGTGTTTTAACGGCCTCCCCTTTTGCAGAGACATAGACTAAGTACATTCCTTCCTCTTGGTTCTGTTTATAATAATTATAGAAAGCTAATGCGCATAAGCACCCATAGAAGTCTATGAACCTACTGGCTTTATACTTGGCCAGTCTAACGGTCCTCCCATTAGGCAACTCGTGCTTCAACACCTTCTTGTCCCAGTCGAACTGGGGCTTGGCAACCTCGAGGTAGTACATGCCCAATAACATGTCAAAGGGCAACTCGTCGCTCACCAGGAATGATATCTTATGGTTTATCACTCCTCCTGGGTAGGACAAGGTGCAGACTACATCTTTAACGTAGTCCTCCACCATCATGCGCTCTTTGTTGGCCAAAGTAGATGCTACCGGTCTACTAAGGCGCTGCACCCGGTCTTTTAGGCACAGTCTGTCAACGCAGTTGCGACTTATGAAGTTTCGCGTGGAGCCAATGTCTACGAAGGCCCCGCACTTGCGACCACCCACACCAACTTCCACAATGAAGTGCTCCCCTCTAGGACCTCTACTCAGTGCCACCCAGGACTCACGAGGGTCCCTTGCCGACCACTCACCTTGAAGGTCCTCTAAGGCTTCAGACACATCCAACATACAAAGTATAGTTGGGTCCGGATGTGTCTGCGTGGTGACTAAGGAGTCAATAGCTTCGACCAACTCTTGAAATGGGGAGGGTACATCACCCGCTTCAACGAGAGTAGAAGCAGCTACATCTTCTACCGGCGCTAAGTGTTTCATGAGCTGGAGCTCGTAGAGGCCCCAGACTGAGAAGGAGAAAACCCACCCTTAGGGGGGATATTCTGCGAGACCTTCGGGTTCTTGCATTTAAACTGTGTATGGTCGTACTCGCCACAGTTTATGCAAGCACCTCGCGACCAATGATCTCGCCACACTTCCTGATCCAAGCCTGCTCTAACCCAAGCAGTTATCTTGTTTGGGTTAGCGGCCTGCCCCTGACTCCTTTGCTGACCACCCTTGCCGCGGCCTGCTGCCTTAGTCTTAACTACTGCGACGAGGTTGCTACCCTCAGCAATCTCCTCGCCGTCTAACTCTGCACCCTCCACAAGTTTAGAAACATCATCGATTTCAGTTTGATTCCCTTCGGAATCAACCATCATCAATCGATTACCCTTCTTCTTCCATTCTTGTTGAGACTTCTTCTTTCTCCCGTCCATAGAAGGGGTTTGAGCACTACCCAGCGTAGCCTCTAAGTCTAGGGCCTTCTTGCTGAATGTCTCAAAAGTGTGACACTCTCTACGAGCCTCACTGGCTAATAAGTTCTTGATGTCTGTGGGAAGACATCTCAAGAACGTGGTCAACAAGACCTGTGGATTGTACTCCACTCCTGTGACAACGATCAGGCGCTCTACGGTTGTGGGAAGCTCTCACACTGACTTGTACTTTATAGCATCAAGCTTTAAAAGCCCATCACTGGCAACCTATGCCTGCTGAGGGTTGTGCCATCGAGCCTCCAGTAAGTCCATAAAGCTCTCCAGAGTGTGGGTCTGTGCCCAGTCACCCATGTTCCTGCCGAACCCCTTTAAAGCTACCAATCCATTTAGCCAGCGAGCTGCTGAACCCTCTAAATAGGATGCAGCAGTAATCACTTAATCCTCTACCAATGTCCTCTTTGCCCTCACCCACACTGGCACCGTTCTCAACCACGTGTCAAGAGCCTCATCCTTCTTGTCTCCTGAGAAGGTTGGAGGTGGTTTCACGGAAGTCTTGGGATACCAAGGAAATTGTTGTCCCGCTGGCGAGACAGGTGGCAACTGTGGTGTAGCACCAGTTGTTGGACCGGAAGATGAAGAAAACAGTCTGAGATAGAGTTGTTGCTGATGTACCACTTGGTGGTGGTCCGGACTGAGCGGCATAGGGGCCTGTCGTCGCTGAGAGTGGCAGCGACGTCAAGACTGCTGGCCTGATTCCTGGCTTGTGCATGGCATTCAGGATCTGGTCCAAGGTGTCCTGGATTGTATCCAGTTTACTGTCCATGTATGCATGCATGAATAAGATGCTTGCCTTAAGAATCTTTTCATTATTTCTAAGGGTTGAGTCATTTAACCCCTCTAATGCAGCCTTGTCTGCCTCCCTACCCTCTAGTCTGACACTTCTGTCTCTAATCTCTTTCTCTCTCTTAGTAGCCTGTATGAGTTCCTCCTCTAGCCTTAAGCGAATCCTCTCTACTTGCTGGAGTTCCATCTGCTCCCGGGTGCGTGGAGGTGGCGAGCTGAACTACGAACCCGCCATGTGACTAGTGCCAACTCCTGACGTACTGGAGACGGACTGTGAACTGGTCGAGTTTGGTGGCATACCCAAACTCTGACCAGTAGCAGAAGTGGCTGAAGAGGTAGCCATTGCTACCGCACTAGCTGCTGCTGCTGCTAACGCTCGTTCAGCCACCGTTGCTACCTGTCTCGCGGTCTCTAGATTGCGGGTTCTTGTCTCGGCCCTAAGCCTTCTCTCGTCTCCTCGTAGTAGAACCTGGAACACAACGGGCAGATGCTGTCTGCACTAATGTCCTCTTTGGAACCTACCGCAGCATACGTCTGACCGGTTCTAAAAATAAATAAAATGATAGGCTAGCGAGTTACCCTAGACTACTAGTCAAGCGGCATCAACAGCACCTACACAAATTGTACACATGTAGTCTGCCTGTAGTCCTACTCTAGGCTGTCTGTTAGGTGTTAGCAGTCTGTCAACCAACTCATCAAGATAAAAATAAACTACACTGAGCAGATGTATGCACAATGGATAATATAGTGATTAACAGTTGAGTTCACAATTGTAATCCCCTTCCCCTGTATCCAACGTACCTATGAGCATCATCAAGCTGTTGTGTCTAAGGTGTGCAACCACGGTCCACCCCTGTGCCCAAGAAATATGCTTATGACCAGCCTGCCCTTTATTTACCCTCGCGTGCCACAAGGCTTACACCTACCTGATCTGGCTGATCAAGCGGCAATTTAAGGGCAGCCCCCGAGAGTCCTCAGGAATTCTTTAACATCGCAATCAGGACGACGATCACAGCTTGTGGACAGTTCAGTCCCCAACCACAAATGTTTATAGACGGTCTGGGAGCGTCTACGTAGGACTGGTCAGTCCGCACACCCCTTCTATCAGCGCAGCAAAGAGCCTCAATGGACAAAGCAGCATGGCCGGCGTGTACTAATACCCATGGGTTGGCATGGTGACCGTGACCCGTGCTTCGACCAGGGCCCTTCAGAGGCACTACCCTCTCCTGCCAGATGCGCCACCGGGAAGAATGTCATCTCTCAAGATAGAGCGCACATGACTCCTCACCAAAGAGAGGACACTCAAGTTGGACTCACTTCCTCACTGTAAGAAGATTGAGAGGGTAGATAAGGAATGGGAACAACGTACCTGGAGATAGCTGCCCCCAACCACAGATTTCTCACCAATTGGGCCGACGTGCATTTCGATGACCGGTCATTAGCCTCGGTACCACCCACAACGCAATGCAATGCCACCTCAGCCAAAATGGAGAGCAGGTTAACCGAGCACCCATTTTTCAGGCCCATTTATAAGAAAACCGGACAGTCATTTTAACAACACTTCACACCAATCTATAGAGTGCACTTCTTACAACCCCATCACAGAAAAAAACCCTAAAAAAAGCAATTAAAAACATATAAAACAGCAAGCCAAAGGTGCATTTCCATGAAATTTGGCCCAAACAAAACTCGACCAATTTCAGAAATTTCAGAAATCTTAATAGCGCAAATTCTAAAACTCCAAATAACCCCAAATTTCATATACGGCAACCCTATCAAAATGCATATATAGCAAAAACTTGAAATTCCAAAAAAACATGAAATTTGAGCCCAAAACCCTAATTTCAGAAATTTCAGGCCTGAAAACCAGATGCCCCGTCTAGGCCCCGCTAATCAACCAGCACCAAAGTATCCTTACTGCACATGAAGCATCATCAGCGCACCAAGTCACAATGTCGTCGGTGCCAGGTAAGCGGCGATCACCAACCAGCCCCAATACCAAATTGCAAGGAATATGAGTGTGAGCGATATACATAAAACCAAGTCGCGAAATCACACAGCTGACCAAGTAGTCGTGTCCCAAGCAGAGAGTACAAATGCAACGAGAAAACCATCCATATAGAGCAATACAATGAAGCAATGAGCCAATGTTCAAGCCCGTAGGCCACACCAACACAGTATCCAAAGTCGCTCTGCTCTGTCTGGCATTCAGCGCCCAGCCTACTATACCAGACTATGCTACCTACAGCTGGTTCACGCAACAGGATCACTTCGACTCACGAAGACCAATGTACATGACTGCCAACACCATCGCCAACCTCAGTTCATGTACCAGGTACGTATCTGTCACCCTCAATCAGACCTTGATTACCCCACACAGCGCCTCCTTCACTGAAGACCACCTGATCATCCGCTGTACCCCCCTGAAGCCCAGCAGCCCGTCTATGGCTGCCTGCGCCCCGCTGCCCTGCAGCGCCCCGCTTCACCTCTCGCGCCCCATCAGCGCCCTTGGCAGCAGCGCAGCATCAAGCGAGAGCGCAGCAGCACTTCCGCATTGCCAGCACTGGCCAGAATGCCTGGCCTGGGCTGCTTCCTTCCTTTTGTGGAAGTGGCAGCCCCCTGGATGCTGTGTGTGGCCTGGCTGGAAGCTTCCAGTAGCTTCCGGTTGGGTCCCAGACCCTGCGCCCAGGCCCGAGACTACAGTTGAGGGCCTGGGCCCTTTGCAGTTAGGCACGGCCTGGGTCTCCGGACTTGGGCTGTTTGCTGCATCTGTGCAGGGCTCCCAGGCAGGTGCGTTGGCACTACTGCTTTTGCCAAGGCCGAAGGCCTGCTTCCCAATGTATCGGCACTGCTTTGTGTATGTGTGCCCAGGCGCAACTGTCAAGGCCTGGGCCAACTGTCTGACGCAGCAATGTGAGGCTCACACGTCTTCCCAACCAACTGGCATCCTGCGAGAGCCTGAATACCCACATATGGAAATGTCGAATTTTGCCTTTGACGAATATTCAGGCTCGCCTTCACTTAGGGCCGGCACTTGGCTTGCTGGGGGCCTTAGCCCAGAACAATGTGATGTCTGATAGGGCCCCTTGAGGGCTTGTTCCTCACAAAACGAAAAGAAAAAGAAGGATTACGTGGGTATGGGTGGCGATTAGGTCCTCCTTAAGGTGGAGGAAAGGGTGTTTTTCCTGAGGGTTGTTCGGGCCATATATCCCAAAAATTTCGATCTGTTTTTCCTTGAGTCTAATGTCTAATCTGATACATCTAACTGATGTAGAATCCGCCAATTGTTCAGTACCTGCAGATTATTGTTTTTTTGTTCGTTATCTTTGTCATTGGATCAGTACCTCTGGGCCTCAGCCCTCCTCCGTGCAAGCACGAATTCGAACCAGCGACCTCGGTCTCAAGAGCCAAGTATCGTAACCACTACAGCCAGGACACGGTGTTCAAAAGCGGAACCATACCGGCCGTGGTATCCGCCCGGTGTTCAAAAGCGGAAACATACCGGCCGTGATATCCGCCCCACCCCTGCAAGGCTGTAGCGTCCACACTCAACGCACACCACACACAACACCACACGGACACTGGCAATCACCGCACACTTCGCTCCAAGTAGCACATGACCCCCATCGGTAGTATAGCCCGCTCACTTATGCGGGACGACCTGTTTGTTTTTTTTATGTTTGGATTATGGGCCCATATCGTTTGTTTTTGAAAATTTCGCTGAATCTTGAACCGAAATTGCCGATGAAAACGGCGAATTTTCGGCCTTCCATTAACCATCTCTCAACACGCTGTGAGTTCTGGTTGATTTCTGATTTCTCTTAGTACGTCTTCTTCTGTGGTTGGTTTGAATCTCTTTGTCCTGTTGACTGTCCCTTCGTCTCGGGTAACATCCATATTACCTGGGCAGTTTGCTTAGAGGAGAGTCTGTGGTTGGTTTGAATCTCCTGTCCTGTTGACTGTCCCTTCATCGCGGGTAACCTCCATATTACCTGGACGGTTTGCTTAGAGGAGGGACCGTTTTCTAACTCAGATGGAGGCTTACTTGGTTCTCCTCTCTTCCTTCTTTTCCCTTTCTGCCTTTATCCTGTCAATCGTTTCCACTATGTTCTTCCCCAACCAATCCTCCCTTACAAAGGAGGCCATGCTGTGAGCGATCATGTCCACTTCACCTCTGTCGTCTGCGCCCAGACACCCCAGGTCGCCCAGAAGGGCGCTTGGGGTGCCCGGCCGTGCGACCCCCCTGGCCAGGCACCCGGGCCCCCGCAGCGCCGCCCCCAAACCACTTCAATTTTTTTTTTTCCGCGGGATGGAGGCCCAGAGGGAAAAAATAATTTTGGCAGCCGCCGCGATTTTTTTCTAGGTCCAGTAGGCCCCGTTTCGTAGTTTTTCTTGACCTGGGCGATCGATCTGCATTGATTGATGGCACAAAAGTCCCAAGATGTTGAATTCAAATCTTGAGACTTGCCGTGCGGCCCTGCGTCTCCGCCCTACCCCCCCGTGCCAGTTCATTGTTTCCCCGCCATGGTCGTCCGCACCATCGTCATCGTCGCCCTGCCGAGCCATCGTCTTCGTCACCCTGCTGCCCTCCAGCTGCGCCATCGTCGTTGCCGTCCAGCCGCACCATCCTCCTCCCCCCCGATGAAGACTGCCTGCGCCGCCATCGCCAACTGAGGTAAGGTTTTTCCTTCTTCTTTTTCTTCTTCTTCTTCTTCTTCTTCTTCTTCTTCTTCTTCTTCTTCTTCATCTCTACTACGTCTTTGTTTGTTCTTCTTCATTTTGTCTCATTCTTCTTCCTCTCCTTCTTCTCCTCGATTTCGTCGTGTTCTTTTCCTTCTTCATTATCTCTTCGTCTTCTTTTTTTTTCCTTCTTTGTCGTTTCTTCTTCTATTTCTTCATATCCTTCATCAGTGCTTCTTTTCCTTCTTCTCTTTCTTCTTGCCGCCTCTACTTCTTCTTCTTCTGCTGCTGCTGCTGCTGCTGCTACTACTCTTCTTCCTCCCTGTTTCTTCCTCCGCCATAGCGCTTCATCAACTCGTCATCTTTTTTTTTTTTTGGGAATGCTTGATTATGCTTCGGCTCTGTCTGTCATAGCCTCCCTCCTCGCTCCATAGACTCCCTCTCCCCTCCTCCTCCATCAGTCTCCCTTTCCCGTCCTCCTCCGTCGTTAGACCCCTCTCTCCATCAGTCTCCCTTCCCCATCCTCCTCCCTCCATAGGATCCCTCCCTCCTCCTCCTTCCCTTCGTCTTCATCTTCTTCTTCCTCCTCTTCTTACACTCTCCCTCTCTCCTTCTTCTCCCCTTCTTCTTCGTCATCTTATTCCTGCTCCTCTGCTTACGCTCTACAGTTCTTCTTCTTCTTTCTTTCTTCTTCTTCGTTAGAGTTATGCCTCTACCTCCTCCTACGTTCGGTAGAGTTCTGCTCCTACATCCTCCTACCTGTGGTAAAGTTCTGCTCCTACCTCCTCCTTCCTCCTGCCATAGTCCTCCCTCCTCCCTCCTCCCTCCTGCCGTAGTCCTCCCTCCTCTCTCCCGCCATAGTCTCCCTCCTCCCTCCTACCATGGACCTCCCTCCTCCCTCCG